TTTTTTTGTTTTTGTTTCTTTACGCTCTCACACTTTTTACATGTATATATATATATTTCTCTTTTTCTTTCTTTTTCTCTCTTGTATACACCAATAATGATAATAATATAGAAGTGGCCATTTGGCTAGTTTAATTGATATTATTTAACCGTATTATCTCTGTCTGTGGTTGTTGTTGTTGTTGTACATTTCTACTTAGTTGTTATTGTGTAGGCCCCCAGTAACAACTAATAAAAAGAAAAACAAAAAAAAACATAATTAAATATATTTAGAAAAAATAAATAAATAAATTAATTAATTAGATGATGTGTTATTCACCTGAGCGTCCACCGTCTCTTAATGCTCAAATGAACCGTACACATTCCACAGATACTTCAAATAATGATAAAACTCTGCGATCCCACACACCGGCGATATCTCGACATTCTCCATGGCGTCTCGCTCACTCTTTACACGCCGCGAATTTCTCACCAGACTTAAATTACTTCTACGGCACCTTTTCTCTCTCCGCACGGTATGCCTTGCATGGAATGGAAACACCAACTCCATCCATGTTGGGATCTTCTCTGCGAAGTAGTACCATGCGTAAATTGGCTATGCGTAGAGGAGGAGGAAGTGGAAGTGGAAGTGGATATAATAGAAACGATAATAATAATAATAATAATAATAATAATAATAATAATAATAATAATAATAATAATAATAACGCAATAGACCATCCAATGCGTAAATTACGTGAACTTGGTTCCATTATTATAACTAGTGCGGATATGAAAAATAAAACCATCAGCAGCAGCACCACCACCACCACAACAACATTACCGCCCTTAACGACTTTATTAGAGGAAATAGTGATTCCGTTAAATTACACTGTGCGATTACATGATGTGGAGGGACGAATGTTAAATGTCTCTGGAGAAGCTGTAGAAAGTTCTCCCATCGCATCTTGTATATCACAATCTAGTATATATGATGGAAGTTCATTTTCACTAAAACCCTTGTATGATATTTCTAAAATAAATAATAACAACAACAACAACAATGACATCATCATTAATACCAATTTAGATAGTTCTTATAATCTTTTGAGTAGATCTCATAATGGGGATCTTCATCATTATAGTTCTATTATTCGAATAAGAGATGTTCCTCTTTGGAAACGCTATACAACGACCATTACACTTTATATGGCATTAGCAGATGCTGGTTTTTGTGATATCTCTATTCCTTTTGTAAGTATACAATGGATAGATTGGCGAAAACTATTAAGAGATCAAGTACATCTTCGACTGGATATGATGGGGAATAACATCACACGGGCAATGTTACATCCAAATAATCAATCACATATAATAGAGAAAACATCTTCACATGATGAAAAGGAAGAATATGAAAAGTTATTAATCGTACCAGTAGCCGTTATACTTCCAAGAACGATAAAAGGTACATTACGACGTCCAATCACAACAGAGTTCATGCCATCTATTACGACTAGTCCTTTTACAGATGTGGAGGTTTTTCAACTCTTTTATTTACAATTACTATTTCGAGCCTTATATGATATACGTTTCCCTGGATTTATGTTTGGTGAAGATCATAATTTATTTCGTTCCGATCTCATCGCCGTTCACAGTAGTGGAAGACAACCCTTAGCCTTTCAAATCCCAACATCTCCCAATCGTTGGTTACTTTTCCCTCCAAGATCTAAAATTCTACACTTAATGGGTCTTGAAGAGGCGGTAATTCCTTACTTTGCCTCTTCACAACAATATCGAGAAACATCTAAACAAAAACTTGCGGGTGCTACTTTATTATTACCATGTCAAGGTTCATTAGGAAGACGTGTAGTGGTGGATTGGGCTATGCATCTAGTTATTCATACCCCACAAGAGGCTTCTGATGCTTTAAAGGAATTATTTACTCTTTTTGATTCTGTATATGGAGTCGATAGAAGTGTGGTGTGGAATGCTCCCGTGACCCCTCGTATTTATCGTTGTAGTAATACTGCATGGATGCGATTGAAGGAAAATAATGAGGATTTGTCTTTTTTGTTTACTTCGGTTACTTTACCAGGGAGTACTATTCCATTGGAAAGTGATGAACAACCGAAAGAACATCCTTCAGTAGATACTATTCC